GGGTCTTTTTGTGAGGAGAGGGTATGAAAATGTGGGTATTTGGGTCTTATTTGTGAAGAAGACACACAAATGGGGGAATTGGGGTCTTATTTGTGAAGAGAGGTCACACAAATGGGGAATTGGGGTCCCATGATGACGAGATACAGAACCGTGGATATTGATGTGGCAGTTCGGGTGATGTTTCCGAGCAGAAGACACAGAGGCGCAGGGATCGCGGTGTGTTTATGAGGAGGCAATGCCAGAACGCGGGAATTCGGGCCTTGTTTACAACAACGATGATCCGCAGTCGTGGGAATTTGGGCCTTGTCGTGAGGAGAGGACGCGCAGATGTGGGAGCAGCGGATCTGTTTTATGACAGGGTTGAAAAACGCGGGAATTCGGGTCCGATTCACAAACAGCCGCCACGCAAATCTTCCCTCAGTAAAAACCTGGCGCCAAAAAGGCCCAGCTGCGCGCGCGCCGCCCCGCTGCGACGTCACTACCGTGCGCCGCCCACGTGACGTCACTGAGGTGCGCCGCCAACGTGACGTCACTGCTGCGCGCCGGGCAGCGGTTGCCATGGAGGCGGCGATGAAACGTGGAGAGGAGGAGGAGGAGGAGGAGGAGGAAGACGAAGACGAAGAAGAAGAAGAAGAAGAATGGTTGCTGCAATCCCTGCACATGTGAGCAAGTCCCCGACCTCGGCCCTTCGGCTTTCCCCCTCCGATTTCTCACCGCCGCCGCTCTGTCCCTGCAGGTACGAGGCTCTGCACGCCTTCGAGCTCCAGGCTCCCACCCGCGTTATCGAATGGGCCCTGGGGAAACGTGAGTGGGGAGATGGGTGGGGAGGAGGGAGGGCGAGAGATGGGGGCTGAGGTCCTTTGGAGGTGGGGGAGGGGATGGGTTTGGGGCCCAGGGGGATGGAGACATGCCATGGGGCTGGGTTGGGGCTCAGGGGGAAGGAAAAGCACCATGGGGCTGGGCTGGGGCCTATGGGGGAGGAAAGGCACCGTGGGGCTGGGCTGGGGCCTATGGGGGAGAAAAGGTGCTGTGGGGCTGGGCTGGGGCCTATGGGGGAGGAAAGGCACCATGGGGCTGGGTTGGGGGCTATGGGGGAGGAAAGGTGCTGTGGGGCTGGGCTGGGACTTATGGGGGAGGAAGGGCACCATGGGGCTGATTTGGGGCTCAGTGGGATGGAGAGGCGCCATGGGAACGGGCTGGGGCCTATGGGTGGAAGGGGAGGGTGGCCATAGGCCATAGGGGACAGACTGAGTTTCGGCCAGGGCTGGGGATCTGCGTGGGCCAGGATTCAAGGTGGGCAGCACTGCAGCTCAGCGGCGCCTTTTAGGAAGGGGGGGGGGGAATTTCTCACCGCATCTCTGGGTCACCAGCAGGTGTCTGCGTGGCCGGGTACGAGTGCTCTGGAAGGAATGAGATCCTGCAGCTGCTGCCACCACCAACACTGCAAGCAAAGGAGAATCAGGTGGGTGCTGCAGCCAGGCAGATGCAGAAGGGGCTGGCTGAGATGTGGTCCCACTGGGGAACCGCAGTGCTGAGCGTCACCCCTGCAGTGGGTGATGTCTGAGCTGGTGTAAGAAGTGGTGTTTAGCCAGGTTGGCACAGGCAGCGACAAACCTCGACAGAGCTTTTGGCAGGAGTCCGATCCATAGGTTTTCCCCTGGAGTGGAGCAGGATCATTCAATCCTATGGTTGAAATCAGCATGAGTGGGCAGGCAGAGGCTTCTTGTGCCGTTCAATGGGAAGAAATGACTTTGCCTTTGATTTCCAGGGTCTGTGTCCCCAGAGAGATTTCAAGGTGGAATGCGGAGGGTTCTCAAACCGCCCTGTGTACAACCTGAAACACGTGCCGGACACCAGGTATGGCCAACAGAGTCCTCCTGGGGGCACTTGGGGGTGGTGGAGGGGCTCGTCCTCTTGCTACTCGCCTGCTTCCCAACGCAGCTGGTGGGAGCTGAGAGCTCTGGGAGTCTTGGGCAGGGATCGCTGGCCTTCCCTGAACCACATCTTGATGTTGGGAGTGCAGCAGTGGGTTGGGGCGCACTGGGTTGGGGTGCTGCTGCTGCGCTTAGAGCTGTCGTGGTGCATCCTGCATCATCCCCGAGGCTGCAGGCGGTGATCTTTGCCTATTAACCAGCTCTCCTGGCTCACTTTTCCTTCCAGGACCTGTTCCCGTTCGGTTCTTCCAAGAAGGTCCTGGAAGAGGTTCAGTTTAACGAGTTCAGGGTTGTGACCTCACTGCCCTGCTTTTCCCCCTGGCAGGATACAGAGCTGGGCAGTCCCGTGCTCGCTGCCTGCAGGGCTGCTCCCAGCCTCCACCTCTCCAAGCAGTCCCTCCTTGTTTGTCGGTACAAGGTTCAGCCACACACCTTTCCCCTCTGGCTCCTCCACCACCTGAGTCAGGAGGTTTCCATCGGTGCTTGCCAGGAGCTTCCTGGCTCCTTTGTGCCTCGCTGTGCTGTTCCTCCAGCAGATGTCAGGGTGGCTGTTGTCCCCCCGTGACCACAAGCCTGCTTCCCCCTGTCAGTAAAGGACCTTATCAACTTCCTGATCAGGCAGCCCGTAGCAAACACCCCCTCCTTCATCTGTCCTTTAATTCTTTCACACCAGCTCCCAGCCCACGTATTGTCCATCCCCGAGGCTGAGCTCTGTTTGTTCCAGGGGTCTTCACGCATAAAGGGCAGCTCCACCACCCCCCTTCCTCTCTGATTTCCTTCAGGATCACGTGGTGGTGTTTCAACCCTGTCAGTGGTTCCACCACGTCTCTGCAGTGGCAGTGAGAGCTGAGCCCCGTGGCTGCACCCACAGCTCTGCTGCTTCCCGTTTTCTTCCTGTTTAGTGAGATGAAAGCCATCTCTCGGTTGTCAGCCCTCAAATGGGGTCCTGTGGGTACAGAAGCCATGGAAGCAGCCCATTCCTCACTTGTAAAATCTGCCTTCTCCTCTACGTCAGGCTTGTAGGGTTGAGGAGGAAGCGACCTGGACCTGCAGACCCCTTAACCACCATCCCACAGTTCCGAAATCTGATTAGCTAGGGCCCAAATTACCCTTGCTATCATTGATGCTCACGTGGGAGAGGAGCAGGGGTAACGGCGGGATGTGTGGACAGGGGTTCTGCAGGACGCAGGCTCCTTCAGCTCAGGTGCTTCACAAAGCCCATGAAGCCATGCCCAGCTCCTCCTCCTCTTGAAGGGCACCAGATCTGTTTGTCACATCTTCAGGAGGACCGACAGCCTTTCCATCCTCCACCTCCACGTGGCGCAGAGCCCACCTTCATCTCCCCCACCACGTGGGCTTGAGGCTCCTGAAGCTGCAGGGTCCGTAGGATCGGCCTCTCCATCTCTTGCTCATCTTCCCAAAAGCCACACGGCCTCCATCCTCACCGCAGCGGCGTTACTCACTGCCACCACCCCAGCACTGCTGCAGAAGAGTCTCCCCACGTTGGCTCACCGAAAAGCCCTTCTCACCACCCTTTCTGCTGGCTGTGCAGCTCCTGGCACTTTGTTCCATCCTTTCCTTCTGCGTTTGGAGCTTTCTGGAGCTGCCCAGAAGCGGGATTTCTGTGGCTGCTGCAGGTTCAGCAGGCTCTCTCTGCTGATGATTGCAGGCAGAGCGAACACAATTCCTTCTGGCTGATTCAGCTCTCGCCTCCTACACAAGGCCTCTCGGGGGCTCTGTGCACCATCCCTAGTCTGGCACTGGTGGAAGACGTGCTAATGAAATGCCTGGGTTGCATGGATCGCTTCCCTCGTGGCTGCAAACCTCCCTCACCCTGTGCAGGAGCTGCTGGATGGGAGTGGGGCAGCACACAGCCGTGCTCCATAGGATCATAGAATCACACAAGGTTGGAAACGACCTGTAAGATCATCCGGTCCAACCGCCTCCTCCTCACCATCGCCACCACCAGCACTAAATCATCTCACAGCTCCTCATCCAGGAGCTCCTGAACGCTGCCAGGGATGGAGACTCCCCCACCTCCCTGTGCAGCCATTGCAGTGCCTGAGCACTGAGAGAAACAGTTCTGCCTCATGTCCAACCTGAACCTCCTCTGCTACAACTTGCGGCCATTGCCCTGTGTCCTGTTTGTTGCCTGGGAGAAGAGGCCAAAAGAAGAGGCTGACTCTGCCCTGCATCCATCCATCCATCCCTCCATCCCTCCATCCATCCATCCCTCCATCCCTCCATCCATCCATCCATCCATTCCTCCATCCATCCCCCCCTGCTAAGGAGATCTCACAGGCCCTTTGTCACCACAGCCTCCCTCCATGCAGTTGCAGAGTGCAGTCAGGTCTCCCCTCAGCTCCTCTTCTCACCCTCACCAATCCCAGCTCCCTCAGCCGCTCCTCAGCAGCCCTGTGCTCCACACCCCTCACCATTTCGCTGCCCTTCTCTGCACGCTGCAGGGCCTCAACATCTTTGCTGCAGTGAGGAGCCCAAAACTGAACCCAGCACTGAGATGCGGCCTCACAGAGCTGAGTGCAGGGGATGCTCCCCTCCCTGCTCTGCTGGCCATTCCTCATGCAGCCCAGGCTGCCGCTGGCCCTCTTGCCCACCTGTGCACACTGCTGGCTCCTGTTCAGCCCAGCACCCACCAACACCCCCAGCTCCCTTTCCTCTCCACACTCACAGCCGCTCATCCCCCAGCCTGCAGCGCTGCATGGGGTCGCTGTGCCCCAACGCAGCACCCGGCGCTCGGCCTCGTTGAACCTCATCCCGTTCCCCTCGGCCATCAGCTGATCCAGATCCCTCTGCAGGGCCTCCCTGCCCTCATGCAGATCCACCCCACCTCCCAGCTCGGTGTCACTGCACACTCACTCAGGCTGCCCTCAATGCCCTCATCAGGTCATCAATAAAGATATGAAACAGGATGGGCTCCAGTACCGAGCCCTGGGGGACACCGCTGGAATCCTCAGCTCAGGGCCTGGAGCTGCTCCCTGCTCCTGCTGAGCTCTATGGCTTCTGTTTGTTTCCTCAGCTTGCTGGTGACGAGCGGCCCGCCCGACAGCTCCCTGCAGGTTTGGCAGATGGCAGCAGAAGATTCTGGTAAGGGAATGAGGTTTTGTCCCGCCAGCAAGCAATCCTGATGGGAAGGAATCGTTCCCGATATCCGACCTGCAGCTTTGCATGGGGTTTGATAGATTCACAGCATCCCAGAACTGCAGGGGTTGGCAGGGAGCTGCAGAGCTCATGCAGTCCAACCCCCTGCCCAGCCGTTCCTACAGCAGTCGCACAGCTCGGCATGCAGGCAGGTCTGGAACATCTGCAGAGCAGGAGACTCCACCACCTCCATGGGCAGCCTGCTGCAGTGAGCAGTGGGACCATAGAGACACGTTGGGACCCATAGAGACACGTTGAGACCCATAGAGACACGTTGGGACCCATAGAGACACGTTGAGACCCATAGAGACATGTTGAGACCCATAGAGACACGTTGGGACCCATAGAGACACATTGAGACCAATAGAGACACGTTGGGAGCCATAGAGACACATTGGAACCCATAGAGACACATTGGGACCCATAGAGACATGTTGAGACCCATAGAGACACACTGGGACCCATAGAGTTATGTTGGGACCCATTGGGACCCATAGAGACACGTTGGGACCCATAGAGACATGTTGGGACCCATTGGGACCCATAGAGATATGTTGAGACCCATAGAGACACATTGGGACCCATAGAGACACATGGGAACCCATAGAGACACATTGGGTCCCATTGAGACACGTTGGGACCCATAGAGACACATTGGGACCCATAGAGACACATTGGGACCCATAGAGACACGTTGGGACCCATAGAGACACATTGAGTCCCTTAGAGACACATTGGGACCCATAGAGACACATTGAGACCCATAGAGACACGTTGAGACCCATAGAGACACATTGGGACCCATAGAGACACGTTGGTACATAGGTACAAAGGTTTGCTGCCATCCTTGCTGGGTGCCTTGGCAGAGTGGTTTTGTGCCGGAGACAAAGCTGTGGTTGGTTCCTATGCAGTTCAGTGGGTCGCTGTTGGCTCTGCGCGGTGCCTTTGCCGAACGCCGTCGTGCTGCTGGTTGTTCTCTACCTCTTTTACAGCTGCTTCTCTCTCTTCCCACCAGATGTGATTCAATCTGTAGGTGCCATCTCGACCGAAAATGGCACTGATGAGAGCTGGGCGAAGATCGCCACCATTTCAGCCAGAGCCCCGTGGGTCCTTCACGGCTCAAGGCTCAGCAGCACGCGGATCACAGAGGTGGAGTCGCAGAAGGAGGTGTACAGAGCAGGTGTGCAGCGTGCCGCCAGGCTGCAGGGCTGGGGCTGCGTGAAGGAGGGCACACGAGTGGCAGGGGTTCGTTGTGCTGCCCTCGATGGTCATGGAGTGACAGAATGCCCTGGGTTGTAAAGGAGCACAGCGCTCATCCAGCTCCAAGCCCTGCTGTGTGCAGGTCACCAACCAGCAGCCCAGGCTGCCCAGAGCCACATCCAGCCTGGCCTTGAATGCCTGCAGGGATGGGGCATCCACAGCCTCCTTGGGCAACCTGTGCCAGTGCCTCACCACCCTCTGGCTCCAAAACTTCCTCCTCACATCCAACCCAACCCTCCCCTGTCTCACTTTCAAGCCATTCCCCTTGTCCTGTCACCACCCACCCTCACACACAGCCGTTTCCCCTCCTGTTCATCCGCTCCCTTCAAGCACTGAAGGCCACCATCAGGTCTCCCTGCAGCCTTCTCTCCTCCAAGCCAAACAAGCCCAGTTCCCTCAGCCTTTCCTCACAGCAGAGCTGCTCCAGCCCTCTGCTCATCTCAGTGCCTGAGATTGAGGGCTCTGCCTCAGATCTGCCTCAGATGGGGGTTGGACTCCATGAGCTCTGGATCTTCCAACCCCTACAATTATTCTGTGAAACTGAAATGGAGAGGAGACGATCAGCTTTTGTTCCAGTGTTGAAGAGAGGTCAGGGAGGCGAGCAAGGCTGGATGGAGCTGGCACTTCTGTGTTTGTCTATGGGGGAAAGCTGCACTGGGGGTAAATGTAATTAGCTTTGAAGTCACCATAGGATCTGCATTACGGACCTTCCTGGTGTAAGGTGGCATTTATCATTTTTGCTCGGTGATACGTGTGAGATCAATGAGAAACATCATTCTTGTAGCGGTGCGTCCCAGGAAGTGTTGCTCCAGTTAGAAATTAGAGCTACATCCGTGTCTGTGCCCTGCAGGAGCTCTGCTGATGGTTTTGGTGCCAAGAGTCCCAGGGAGGTTGTGGATGCCCCGTCCTTGGACGTGTTCAAGGCCAGGTTGGACGGGGTCCTGGGCAACCTGATCTGAATGTG